GTTTATCTATTGTTTTGTTCTTGTTAACTATTCTCAAATGGCATTCTCTGTGGAAAATGAACACTGCTCTTTCTCTATGTAATTTGTAGTTTTTTTTTAGCTGAAGTAGAAACGTCTAGAGATTATAAAGGTCAGGATATCCTCTTGGGTGAACATTCCCATAAGATTTTCTTTATTTACTCATCAATGTTTAGAGTTCTTTTTTATTTAATTAAGGCGCTTCATTTATTTCAAATAAGCTACTAGGTCTAATATTGAAGTAGTTGGGATGTAAAGCTATAACAATATCAAAGCGATGAAACTACAACATAATCCACCTTGAAAGGAGATAATTAAAAATCCTAATCTTATTCATGAATGTTTGTTAAACTATTTGAATGATTCAGAACATATCTACTTGATCTCCAACTGAAGCACAGCTACGCCCACTTTCATAGCTGTGTCAAACCCGCAAATACCCTCCACAAATTCTACTTTTCTAAAAAATAATCGATGAACATCAAAGCATTCCTTTGGGACAAGGAATGGAATAAAGTATCAACAGCAACAATATTCCTAGTATTTTATGTAGAGCAGCAGCATTTACCGGACACTAACCATGTGGCTAAGAAGCATCACAGTACAATCGGATCAAAATAAACAGTCCACTACACCGCAACAGTGTATGTTGCGATCCTTCAGATCTGCCTCGGAGTTAGAAAATCAGACTATACATACTACTTTGCTAGTACTGTAAAGAATATTTTCAACGTTGAAATTTGTATTATAGCCATTAGATGCATTATATAAGACAGAAGCTAATTTTTCCTTGCAAGATATTCAGTTGGTTAAAAAATGTATGACAAGGTAATGCATGATTTTCTAGAGCATTTTGAATACTCCAAATACCGAAAGAATCCCCTTCAACTCAGGCTTTTAATTTTTTTCCACCGTTTGCCGTTTTTGAGAAAAAGGTAACTTACAAAATTAACAACAAAAACTTTTTTGGGTTAAGTAAAATTCTGAAAACAAACAAAATAATTCATATATGTGTGTATATTGTGAATGAATGAATGAATGAATGAATGAATGTTTATTTATTTCCACATAATATATACAGAAAACAATGACACACTTTTTAATACAAAATACTTACAAAATAAAACTAAGACGAAGAATAAAAAAGAACATTTCTGTATAAACTAAATTAAATTGATTGTATGAAATACAGCAGACATAGGCAAGTGCTGCCTGTGCGTCTGCTGGGTTGCTATTTAAATATTTATAGTAACCAAGTTATATGGAATTATGCCTATAAAAGGATGAATAATGGAATTTAGACTGTTGCTTAAAGGTTATTAGTTTAAAAAGGAGATTTATGAATTGTATTCAAGTTTGATCAAGTTTTGAAGTTTAGTTTACATTGTGGGAATTTTTAATGACAGAAGATGGTTTTTGATACTCTAAAAAAAGGGATTTTAGCTGCTTACTGTCATAATAGATTTTTAAACGAGCTAAAAAAAATGTTTTGGCAGCAATATGTAGAATAAAACAATGAAGTTTGTTATATGCTCTATGATTTTCTAAGTAGTTTGGTTACTTTTCTGTAAGCTCCAAACTCGATTGTCTAAACCTTTTTCCCCGACTAGTAGTTACTTCTCAAGTGTGCTCAAACTTCACTGTTTTCCCTCAGTAAAATATAATAATGGGCAACTGCACGAAATTAAAAATGTTTTTCCCAAATAATAAAAATTACGTTTTTATAAAGGGGCAGGAAAAAAATCAAAAACGAAAAACTGACGCAACTAATGTTGTCCTGCGTCAGGAATATGGTTGCTCCACGTATATTGGAATGTTGGTTGGAATACGTGTTGCTGCTGATAATCTAACAACGTAGAAGTAGACTATATACAAAGAAACCCGTCATAATAAATACTTCTGTGATAAACTGCTGCTAAACAAGGAATAACTTCAGGTGCAAGCCACAGGAAGCACAACTGCAACAGAGTGTTGTGGAGTGAGATGGCGTTAACCTAACGAAGTAGACAGCATCGGTGGGACCAAGTGCCACTATAAATACACCAATATTTGTTCTGGACGAGAGTCGCACTTACCGTTTCTGACAGTCTGTTCAGAGATGAATACCCTCTAGCTGCATATTTAGGTCATTACTATTAACACATTATTATATACATTATATATTGATAATTTAATAGAGTAGGATGTAGTTGAAAACCCACGTTCAAAGGAGTAATTGAGGACTAGTGTGCCTGTTGCTCGAAATCGAGCAATTGTCAAGTACCAAAACTGAAGTAATAACAGTCATAATTTTCGATTTCGATAAGTTTAAAACCGACTTATAGCTGTTACCAGTAAACATTTCTTGTATGTATTCATTTGATCTGACATTAGGTAGGTTTTCTTTACCCACTTTGACTTCATGATTTTTTACTTGCAAAATAAGCTGCATATAGCAGAACTGGTCAAAATTATTCATCTCTCCAAGTGATTGTGTATCTGGATTTCTTACTGTTAGACCAGTGCTCCCAACTACTCTTCTCATACTTATAAGATTTCCTCTTAACCTCCTCCTGTTTTCAATATTTCTTCTTTTAAGAAATTTTCTGTTCTTCCAACAAAACTGATTAACTCTTGGATTGGTCTATAACCTCCTGAATATTACCATTGACCATACCATTATTTACTCCCAAGAAGCTGGTGAGTTTCTTTTTATATACAGCTGTTTTTTTTTGTTTTTAAATTTGTTCAATGTAATTCTTATGGTGAAAACCCGACCTTAGAAAGGCCTCACGCCCTCAAGGGTAGGAACTTTAAAATGCTAAAATCTTAATGCAAAACTACGAATTACACCGAATCTTTTGATACCCTAATTGTAGAGATTGGTCCACAAATAAGGGAGGAGTAATGTTCAGAAAAAACAGCCCTCTCGTATTAATATAAGAGAAGATCCTTATTGCACATATCTGACTGTTATATTATCTTATATTATCTTGTGTTATATTATCTATCTGTTATATTATATTATCTCCAATGTTTATACAACCAGATCTTTCAAATATTAGTGTCAATGTCAAAGTATTCATCTGTTCAAATGTAAACAAACATTTTCTCCCTAAGAATAACAAGGGTACTTTGAAGGCCACTGGGGCAGAGCCCTGATAGAATTCCAAAGTTTTTTTGTTTGATGGCAAAACTTCATGCTAAGACCATTCTAACGACACTTTGTACATAGTGATCGGTAGCACCACCGCTCCAAAACAATTATGACAAAAATATGCCTCCTCAGCTTTAACTAAATTATTTAATGATTCTAATGTAGTTGTTAACATATTTTAATTTGTTTATGGGGTTTTCCTACGCTAAGTCTTTGTCTGCACTATGTTTAGGGAGGCAAGGTCCTCCCGGTTCAAGTGCCTGACTATTAATCTGCATTAACATAATCACGCTACCTAACCTAACCTACCTAACCTACACCCATGGATAGGGCAGTTATAAAAATGTTGATTAATAGTTAGTCACTTGAAAAGGGGATGAGTGTTCTTACCTTTAGTAACGTAGTGTTGTGAAAACACTTAGCTTAGTAGAAAAGTAGACGTCCATAAACTAAAATTAAAATAGTTATCCTTTGCAATCATATCAACTTAAAAAATGAATAATACAGTGTTAATGTGTTTCTGATTATTATTGTATCAACTGCAAATTAGTTGTGAAAAATGATGCACTTTTTTCCATCTCTCTTTCTTTCTATGTTTCTGAGAATATTTACCCATTCCTACATAATATTTACAGCTTTCCAAAAAACAATGGTCAGAAAATATTCTGAAAAACTCATTTCAATAAGTATTGAATTTTTCCAACCAATTGTAAACTATACTGAATTTGTGTAGTGTGGTCCGAAAATTGTTCTATGAACGATTTTTCTTTACTAATCAATATTTTTGGTAAGTCTCATAAGGATTCCTAAGGGAGGTTAATTTGTTTATTGAGTAGTTATGTGATTATAGTGATTAGTGTACACTAACTATTTACATCTTGTTGAAATCATGAAAAGATCAAGTACAAAAAGTACAAAAATCCTTAATTGCTTTCAGTAGTCAAGTTCTGGAAAGATATCAGATGTTTTCCTTGAGTGTATGCAGTTACTTTTCACATTCAAACTAAATGTGGTTTTATTTTCCATAAACAGGATGACTATTTAGGTTTTGCGGTCGTAAAAATTAAAAAGTAGTTGCAAATACTGGGGCAACAGGGGATGCCAAACTTTCGCTGCCAAATCGAAAACAATTTGCAGTCTAGCCAACACAGAAGTTATGCTTTGATTTCAATATTACTGTATAGTTTAGTGAAGTCTGTATAGGAACCATGCACTATAAATTATTCATTCATACACATTTCCTTGTAGGGAAAATATGATTTGGCTCATTAAGTTATTGCACAGTGAGTATAAACATGTTCATTCAGTTTTAGCTAATTATTCCAACTTTACATAACATATATCTATCACATTCTCTGTAGGATGTCAAATTTAGTTTTTCAAGTGTGTTATATGTTCTTCTCTTCAAGGATTTCTATTTATACTCCTGTTAGGCCTACACATAACTGATCGTGATAAATTACAAAACGGTTTTATCACATTGCCTAGCATAAAGTTAGCTTCTAAAGAGGAGTGTTTTATACGTTTAAAAAAGTGAGTATAAAGTTATTTTTTCAATTTATCATCAGTTTTTAACAAACATTTGTTCTTAATTAGTTAATTGTATCCTCTCATTAGGTTTTTATGTATTTTTCATATTTTACGATTCAGAATATGAATTTAATTCAATTTCAATTTTTGGTCCTTCGAGCCGGATATTTCTTGAAATATATTTATTTATTTGTTACAAAAAATAAATACTCCCTAACAATGGGTACTTATACACAGAGGTGCATGCACTCCCATGGACTTTCATGTTACGATGACTTTGTTACAGTTTATGTTTAGTCTGTTGATGGTGTTACAGCAACGACGCTGTGGCCACTTGTTGGCAGTCCTTGTCCCATAGACACCTACTGCCTCAACGGAGGCACCTGTACCTACTATGAAACCGTCGCTGAACTCGTCTGTCAGTAAGTAAATATTTTAGTTATACGTATCCTATTTTAGTTTTCCTTTTATTTTTGTAGACCCTCTGTAAGGCATGATCCAGTTGATAAGAAATTGTGGACTTTTCCAATTCAAAACTCTATATAAGCTGCAATTTTAGCACAGCTTAGGTTCAATGAATTTTCTCGAGAAGTAAAACCCCATTTTTGTTTTTGCCACAAAAAACAAGCTTTGTGGCTTACTTACCTTAAATACGTGGGTTTCTTCTTCTAAATATTTATGTAAGCTTATGAATAATTCTTGGTTTGAAATTCAACTAAAGCTCTATTCAACTTTTTGGCAATTAATATCGTAATACTGAAATATTTAGGCAAACTTTTTCGGTTTATTTCCTGTTTTATTTAGGTAGAGTAGTATGGTTGTATTACATTAAATTGTGGGAAACCTCCTTCTCGGGGTGAACCTTATAAAAGTATGCATAGAATCATGATGATTTTATCCTGAACACTAACATTACATAATATTGAAAGGTTTTCTTTACCTAAAATGTATTATATTTTAAAGATATTATTTTGATGCCTTTAAACTGTAAAAAAGAACATTTATATACTTGCACGTGGTTATACTAGATACAATTACCTTACTGTAGTCCGTAATATTTTAACCAAGTAATTCCTTTACTGTGGTAATGTCAATAATTACTATTGAGTGCGGGAGCCCTCGTGGTCTGGTTAAACCCCACCAACCATCAATGTCTTTCAGATCCTATGTTTTACAACTCACTTAACGGTGTATTTCCCCTAATTTATACAATAAGATAGGTTTTTGAGGTTAGGAGAACTATTATAAACATCGCTGTAACTCCTTCCTCAAAAACCTATACAATTACTCTACTATCATAGCATCCTCCTCTAATACAAGACGGTGGTGAGAATTGGCAACGCCGCAGCCCCGGCCTACCGAAACAGCTGTTGCACAACAGAGCTTCTGCGCAACATTGGTTATTACTGTTACTATACACCATAGGCCGCCGGTGCGACGTTGCCACACACCAACGTCGCGCTCTTGTATTAGATGAGGTTATGCAATTATTCATATTTAATTCAGAACAATATTATAATTATTCTTTCTTTGTTTCCAGGTGCGCGGACGGTTTCAAGGGCCAGAGGTGCGAAAGCAAAGACGTCTTCAACCGTAGTAGTATGTATAGGCCAATGACTGTATTCTGTTCTCTAGGCTACTCTGCCTCGTATTACTGCTAACTTTATCTATAAATCTATTTATTATACTATTTATTGACATTCGTCCGGTGGATCGCTTATTGTTTTTGTATATCTTTCTCGAATACTCCTAAACCAAAGAAATACACTTTTATGTTTGTTCTAAATCTCTTTTCTTTATTTTCCCTCTCAACCCTGTGACAGCTCTTACGTTTTGTTTTTATTGTAAATTATAAATATATTGTAATAAGAATCTTTGTAGTAAAACTGTACAATTCATTGAGTTTGTGTTAATTGTTGTGTTTTGCCACAAAATTTGATTTTACGAACTCTAAATTGTTAAATTATTTAGTAATTATTTTTATAATTTTTATAACTGTCACTGTACTTTCTTATTTTTTTACATTTGTAAACAATAAGCAAAGCAAATCCAAGGACTGTAGAGCTGCATGTAGGTGGTGGATGTGCTTTCGGTGTTGGATGTAGAAATGTTATAGTTTTAAGAGTCTACCTGTATGTAAACCACTTTATATTTCAAACCATAGTGGAGTTACAGTATTTGTTTGTTCTTAAATAGTTTTTTCTCAGTACATTTTTATTTGATAATATGTTAATAGTATTTTAATTTTTATATGCCTTAAATTTCTGAAAGATTAAAATTTAAAAAAACCTTCCTGATAGGCATCTTTTTAATCGTTTCGATCAGAATTTTTTATTTTTTTCAATCGAAAATCCTTTTTTAACCATAAGTACCGTGCTTAATAACTCTGATAAATTAAAACACTATTCCTCGTTCGCAGTAGTTTTGGGCTTTGATTTTCCTTGTGTTTAATTTTTAAAATCTGTGCACATTCGTAACAGATTAAAACAGAAAAAACTTGTTATAATACTACATATTATAGGCCCCTGAATATATGGTTTGACCTAGAAATAATTAGAACACAAATGAAACCATTGTAGTTTGATAGTGAAAAGTATTGTGAATAACATATCAAAAGTCTCCAAAATTATCTTTTGTGGAACACCACCATTTTTTCAAAATGGCGGCCAAATCCAGTAGTTTTTTGCTTTTTATTGAAATTCTGACTTTCCAGTCAATGTTGGTGAAAAGTCGTAAATACATTTTATTTTCCTCCTGAAATTACCTCTAAAATGATACCAAATACATGTACGTACGACCAAAAATAAACCCCGCAGAAATAATAAAATATTTCAAATAAATGTTTTTCAATAAATTAATGTAATAGTCCAAGCAAACTAATAAAACAGACACAGGGATAGTATAAAAATTTTCAAGTAAACGTTTTATGGTTTTATTTTTATTTTTGTGGTGTGCAGAGAGACATATCAAAAGTTGCAAAAAATCAGTCCACGGGAAACCCCTAAATTATTTATATAAAATGGCGGCTTTTCCCAATATTGGACAAATTTTGCAAAAAGAGATACCGAATGCTTTTTTGCACATTTTTCGAGATATTGACTTGGGACCACCGCTGATATTTATTGAATGGTCCGTAATTAATTTCGATAGGGGATGATTTTTGGGCCGCCATCTTGGATCTTCCATATTGGATATCAATATTATTTCATCTAATTATAGTGTTGTGACACATCATTATGAACTAGATTTCCACTCTGATTTCAATGCTGACATCCGTTTTTAAATAGCTATTTTCTATTTTAAGACATATACAAACGAAAATTCTCCCCCATACATTGCTTATGGACGTTTCGTACTTTGACAATTTAAACACACATTGAAAACTACCACAGCCTAAGGGTGTATTATCAGGTTCAAGTATGGCGTGGAAATAGTTCACCAGCAGAACCAACAGATTGGGGTTGATGTTTGACTGATGTGCATATGCCCTTTATACCAGCACTACCTTCTCTATTAAAGCTCATCCACTGAAAACGTCATTCTGGTTGTGGCAGTAAGTGTAAATGCCAAAAGAGGGGTGATGATAAAAAAAATGGTATATGTGAGTACTTTGATACCAGAACGAACTTGTTGACATATTAACAACCCGAGATATAAATCTTTTAACAAAAACTGATTTAAATAAAGGGTAATTTAATATTGTGTTGGGGTTTGTACCTCGTCTTCAAATAGTCTGTTTTAACTATAAATAGCTAAAATGAAAGCTCTTACATCACTGAATATTTTAATGCTATAACGAACTGCAAGCATCAATAATACCTGGAGTAAAATACTCTTAGATCACTGAATATTTTAAGGCTAGAACAAACTGCAAGCATCAATAATACCTGGAGAAAAATAATCTTAGATCACTGAATATTTTAAGGCTAGAACAAACTGCAAGCATTAATAAGACATGGAGAAAAATAATTTAAACACATTTTTAAAGTACGATACGTCCATAATTAATGTATAGGGGAGAGTTTTCGTTTTAATATCTCTTAAGAAACGAAAAAACTTATTTAAAAACGGATTTAAAAAAATGAAATCAGGGTAGAAATCTAGTTCATAATGATGAGTCACAACACTATAATTACATTAAAAAATATTTATATCCAATATGGCGGATCCAAGATGGTCGCCAAAAACGCGTTCCCTATCGAAATGAAATACTGACTACCCAATAAATATTGATGGTGGTCCTAACTTAATATCTCGAACAAATTTGCATAAAAGCATGTTGCATCTTTTTTAAAATTTGTCCAATGTTGGGAAAAGCCGCCATCTTTTATCATTATTTCACGGGTTTCCCGAGGACTGATTTTTGTCAACTTTTAGTATGTCACTCTGTACACCTAAAAATAAAAATAAAACCTTAAAACATTTACTTGCAATTTTTTACACGAACCCTATTGTCAGAAATTTTAGTTTGCTTGGACTATTACGTTAATTTATAAAAAAATAATATTATTTGAAATATTTTATTATTTCTACGGGGTTTATTTTTGGTTATAGGTACATGTATTTGGTATTATTTTAAAGGTAATTTCAGGATGAAAATATAATGTATCAACTACTTTTCACCAATATTGACTGAAAAGTCAGAATTTCAATAAAAAGCAAAAAAATACCGGATTTGGTCGCCATTTTGGAAAAAAAGTGGTGTTCCACCAAAGATATTTTTGGAGACTTTTGATATGTTATTCACAATACCTTTCACTATCGAATAACAATGGTTTCATCTGTGTTCTAATTATTTCTAGGTTTTGCTATTTTTTTCTTATTTTAAGGCGCCTATTAATCAACTTGTTCAGAGAACATAATTATGATATTTATGAAAAACCTTATTTCAACATGATTTACCATGCCAAATATCAATAGCAAATTAAAACACTATTTTCCCTCAGTTCACATTTATTTGTGAACTTGGGTTTTCCTTTTTGTTTTATTTTTACAAGTTTTTCAGTAGGCCTTATCATTATTATTTACATAAAAGGAAATTTTTGTATCAAATGTACAAGGGTGGTTTATACTAAAAGGATGTTTGTACATATTCTATTACGTCAAATTTATTGTTTTCACTATGCATAGAATTTTCAATTTGTTGTTTTAAAATAAATCCAACTCACAACCAACTGTTAATCTCAAATGCAGTGTGTTGCTTTATGTAATGTGATCAATAGACTTTGGTATGTTAAGTGTTATGAACAATATTGCATAGAGTTTAACTTTTGAAGACAAGATTTACAGTGACATAATAGTTTAATTTTTATAGACTTACTGTTGTCACTTGTAATAGAAATGAATGTTTGTTAAGAATGTTTAACAATTGAAAGTACTTTTTAGTAGAGGAAATTTATTCAAATACATTATTATAATATTTACAATTTCTCTGTTGCAACGAGAGCTGTTGACTGTTTGTTTGAAGTGATTGTAATTGATTTAGATGTAGTAGAGACTAAGTGGTCTCCAGAAGGATGGTGGCATCGAAGGACACTCCAGGAGCAAATAAGGAGAGCTAGGAGAGAGCACTACCGGTGCGTGAACTCCTTATCCTTACATCCTTAATCCTTACATTCTAGGAGCCAATTGCTGATGACGTCACTAAAAATAGATAGGCCTGTACAAAATAGCTACACCCGTGCGCAAACTGTACATTTCAATAAAGTTTAAAACATCTTTGCAATGCAAAATACAATACACTTTTACATTCCAAAGATTATGATAGTTTAGGACAATGATTAGGAGAAAAAACCGCTAAATTTTACAATTAATTTTTTTTTTTTTGTAGTAGATCTACACCATGAAGAATAATTATGCGATTAAAGAGTGATACGGAAATCAGATTATAATTGTAAATGAAAGGAGCATGTTTAAAATTAATTTAGTAAAACCGTTTCGTATCTTGTTCACAATCTAACTACTATTTTTAAACAATACATTTAAGGATCAGCTGTATAGTTTAAATTAACATTTAAAACTGTTATAAAGAAAGTTGGTCAGCATCACTGGATCTTTAAAAGTGAAGTCTAGAAATAAATTAAACGTTAGGTGACGGAGCCCTAAAGACCTTACCTTTTTAGAAACCTTTCGACATCTGCTAAAAAGTAAGCTTCAAAATGACACCTTAATAGTGAGACTTGGTGAAGAAGGATGGGTAAAAAAGGGATCTAACATAGAAAAAAAAACAATAATAGAAAATTTAATAATACTTCAGACTACCTAACTGTATGGTGTCAGTTTCATAAAAAATAACTCTTAATCCATTTCGAAATTACTAATGACGTCCCAATTAATTTACGTAAAAAACAGTTCTAATAATTTAGTTTTTTTGTTTTTTCCATAAATTTTTCCGTGACTGTTTCCAAAATTAATTTTAAATTTTTTGATCGCTTAACAGTACAAGTTATGACGGTATTGGCTATTGGCTCAAAGAATCTTATTACTAACCAATTACAACTAATCAAGATTGATAATCTGTGCCAGCTGTTTTATAGCCATTTTAGGAATAATACGTATTTTTAACACAACTTTGACACTTGAAAATATTATTTTGTTAGGTTTTTGAATAGATTTTTTGTGCAATTTTTCTTATTAGTTTGATAATAAATTTTTTATTATAATTTTATGCGCATACTATTACTAAACTATCATAAATCATCATCATATTTGTGGTATGAAAGTTATACTGTAATTTAACAACTATCTGTCAATAAGAATACGAAAATATTATATTACAGATTAAAAAGAAACCCCTTTCTTGTATGAGGCATTCTTAGCAATACTCAATATAAAAAACACTTTTATGTGGTTACAGTTAAACAGCTGGTACTCGTAATTTGTTCAAACAATAATTACTATGTACGATTGTTAAAACTTGTTATTTGTGTTGTAACTAATAATTGGTATTCAATGTAGCGTAATTAGTTTAGTATTAAGTCGTAATCAATACCAAAACTTGTTGATTATCCAATAATTAAAAATTTTAACCTGTACAAATAAAGATTAAAATCATCTTCTTACTTTATGGGCAGTAACCCAATATTTTTATAAGTCCATACCTAAAAGTTTTGAATATAAAAAATACATAAAATTATAGAACGGTTAAACAGTATATTATTATTGTATGGAATTAAACTAAATAAATTTATTGCCAAGTACTGGATTGTAACAAATAACTTGAAAATCAACAACCATTAGTATATTTTCTTCAATTGAATAATAATGGTTCAACGTTTGCTCTGTAAATTTATTTTACCATGCCGTTTAAAAATTAAATTTATACATTTTAAATTCTTGAGACATTATAATGAACCAAAACTATATTTCTTAGCAAAAACATATTGTCAGATTTTGCAAGACGGTACGAAATATACAATCATCAGCATAACTGCCCAAAATAATATTGTGAGTAGTTCAATTAAACATTAAAAATCCATATCACTTTCAAACTTAAATTATCTCATGTTAATGGATTTATGTTTCAACTAACCCAGTTTATAAGTACCTATATAGTTAGCTAACTATACCAAATAGGGCCCAAGGAAGCGATAATAGTTAGTTTATAATGTAAGTTAAGCGTTTACTTGATATACTGAAGTGAGCGTATTGCTGTATTACTGAGTCAAGATTCAAACAAGACAAAAAATATTATTTTTTAATTATTGTTTTTTACGAATTAACTCAAGTTTTATTACTACTATATCTGTTTAAAATATATTGCTCATTAATATTGATTTTAAAGAATATTGATAGGTAAAAAATTACTTGAGAATTTAATCAACACTTTTGGATACTTTTCCAACTTTTGAATCGCGACAGTTTACTTCAGTACCTCAGTGAACGGATTAAGTTAAGAGTTGTGAGCTGGATTTATTCTGTAACTGTTAGTTCCAGTTAAGCCTTTTGCTGTTTAGTTTGCTTTGGTGTCTGGTGATCACACATTATCGCTTTGTTTAGTTTTGAGAATCTCAAAACTAAACACTTTGGGCCTTTTTTGGTTATTGCATCATTAACATAGTATACACGCATTTCATGGTTTATTGTAGACTTTTATTCTTTGTAGATTCCAACCCCCAGTCAGTCTGGATGGTAGAAGCTCCAACGAGGATATTCGGGCTAGACTGAGTAATTCGGGGAATAAAAATTACTAATAACCCACAAATGTGGATCACCTCTGTTAAAAGGTACATTAACATTGCTTTTTTGGTTGCGGTAGGAATACTGTTGGTTTATGTTTTGATGATCTTTGTTAGTTGTAACACAAGGATAATTTGGTTTTAATAACGTTTATGACTTTTAATATTTTTGTTGGGAATTCCTTGAGTTTATCATTTTGTTGTATAATTTAAGCTTTGTGTATTAAAAAAGATTTTATTTCGCTATAAATATTAGAAAAAAGTGAGACATTACTAAGTTTTGAAAAAAATATAACAGATTTTATTTACTTTATAATCCTATGGTGACCTATCTATTTGTGTATATTTTGTGGCGGTTTATAATTTACTGTCTTTTATTATATTCCATGAAATAACAAGTTTAAATGGGGAAATATAAATAATAATTACCATGATAATTTGACTTATTTTTAAGTTAAAGTAGAAAATGGAAAATTCTGGAAAATATAAGTAGAAAATTCTGACTTTTAAAGTAAAAATTAAAGAGTTTTTTTGTGAGTACGGTTTTTATGCGTTGCTGATAAAACAGAACTTATTTAATGAAATGTCCATTTTCATTTAAAAATAAATGCTCATATACTTAGTGTATTAAGATATTTTTCAAGCCTTTAAACTATATACAAACATTGAAAACTGAAACAACTCCCATTTGACAGATTGTATTTTTATCGTGCCGATTCCAAGTATATATTGTGGTTATTTTATTTTACCTTTATTAATTTAATATTTCGTATTTCAAACTCTCTGAAAAGCCATTTTATCCGATATTTCATGACTAATAAGCGTTTTTATAGTTTGGCAAGTACATTTATAATACTAAACTCCAGAACTTACAAAAAGTTTACTAATTCATAGCAAAAATTTGTTACTTAAAGATAAGATTATTAGTTCACGTTATACTTAATCAATTGTTCTCTTTTGTTTTTCAGATTTTTCCATAAACTTTTGAAACAGTGATGCGCTTAGGCTAAAGGACTAACGGGCAGGCCTGCCTAAGAAGTAAAAATAATGTGGTAAGTTGAAAATTGAGTTTTAAACTTGAACCTCAGTCGTTGAAATAAACAAACAATTCTTAATACCCAGCATTTTTTTTTACTTTGAATATGAATATTGGGTCTAAGTTTAAATTGCATTGTGTGTGGTATCTATCTTTAAATATCGATTTTCAAGTAAACTTGTCAAAGATTGATTATATTTATTTAAATTGCCAACTAATTTGATAATTCCTGTGTATACTCAATGTTTAAATAGTTAAAAAAATTCTCAGTAAAAAAACTTTATTCGAATCAATTATTTTAGATTGCTAATCATTTTTTTTCTCAAAATTTTGTGACCAAATAGAAATATCCGACCTATTCAAGGGATTTGCATTATGACTTAGCTAAAACCAATACGTGACTTGTGGGATTTGAGCCCGGGACCTTGGAAACCAAAGACTCGCTCTTTACTCATTAGACTACTTTGCTCCCTAGTCATTGGCGTTATTTTATTCAAAGCAGATTATGCCACATCTTTTAGAAACAAAAATCACATATCCAAAACGACATTCATTTTTAAGTACTTGCACCCTGTGTCTATATTTTAATAGCTGCTATTTGTATATTAAGAGCGCAAAGCGCATCATTGCGACTCGGGTGCTAGCTTCGTGCGGCCATACATTTCGAGAGCGGCAATGACTGTTTGTGCTCGTATGTGTAATACACACAAGAATATTTCCACCGCCATAATTAACTTATCATAACACACGGATTAACTTTTTAGTGGTTTATGAAATGCTATTTAGGTTATTATGTTACTTGCTTACCGGTTGTTAACGTACCGGCTCCGCGTCTGTGGTGGTGTAGAAACACCAACTGGGAAATCAGGTGATATAGCAAGCAGGAATGATCCATTCCCACTCTTGAGCGGAAATGACCCATTTGCGTACTGTTTACTGATGTTGCAATGTGGCCATTTCTATATTGTCGAAGAAAAAAGCATTTTTGTGTGTTCAAAATTAAAACTTTCTCCCTCTATGTTTCAGATGAAAGGGAGGAATCATCCGATGGTGGGTCTGCTACAATTTATTCTAGTCATTAGAATCCTAGCTTTACGCGATTGTGCTGGTCATACTATGTTATAGTGTTGTAAATACTGGTAAAATACTAGGCTACTTAATTGTGATAATGGCGACTCAACACATAATTAACTATTAACTTAACAAAGATTGTTGACTTCGCTGATTGTTAAAGTTCTGTTACGTTCTTCAATGTTAATAGTTTGTCTTTTTACTAAAAATTGTTGTCTCCATAGTTTTGTAAATTCAGTAAAGTTTAGGAAATGTTATTGCTGCAATAGCGTTAATTATTATGCAATTTCTTTATAAATCACAGTAGAACAATTCTTTCATAAACAAAGTTTGCTACTATATTTATTTCAAGTGGGCAATAATGTTTTTTTTTTTTTTTTACTTTTAGTGTAATACTCACAGATTAATATTTATAGCACGTATTAGGGAATTGTAAATATATTTATTCGAGTAAGATATTCTGTGAAAGCACTGTATATGTTTTTGAACGCGGACTTGACGTATGATATTTATTGTTAGTAAATTAACTTATATATTGTTGTACATAGACCATTGTACATAAACAGATGTTTCAGTATTATTTTTATCCACTGCCAAGCTTTGCAAATCATTAGTTGATCAAGGTTAGACATCTACTAAACTTCTACACACTGCTTGCTTTTTGTCGCTCTTTAAATTATTGCACCTTATCTATTCCTTGGTATATTTTCAACATCTGTTGTGAGTAGTTAGTAAAAAATGTCAAATAAATTTTGGTTATATAGTATTTTATAGTAAAATGAAAAGTTTTGTAAATGAATACATTCTCTTGGTGTAGTAGGTTTTCAGTGAATATTATTAGTATTTTTTTATTAACTAAATATATTTTGTTAACTCATTAAAAGACAATAAACTATTAGTAAATCTTGGAAAAATTGTGAAAAATAAAAATTTTGCTAGGATATTCCTCTTTAACTTTAATAGAAAGTTTAAATTTATTAACTAAATGCACTATTAAAGTAAGTAGTAATACATAATATTATATTAAATTACTAACGCAATTCTTTAATGCTATCTTGATATAAAAAAAAAACTAATCTAAAATATTAATCTTCATCCAATAAAAAGGGAAATTAAAGCAATATAAATAAAGACTTAGAATTTTATACGAAAACTAAGTTAATTCATGAAAATCACACATTCGTAGCAATCTAGGTTCATAAACTCTTTCATACATGTATAACTAACTGTCCAGTGCATAAATATACTCTTTGATTATGGAAATTTTTTTAACATTTTCAGTTACATTTTACACTCATAATAATAGTCAATAATAATTGAAATAATTTGTATCAGGAAAACAGCATTTTGGCTGAAGTTTTACTATCAGGAGTTGTGAAGGGTTGGTTTTTATCCACCCTTTTGTGTGTTACTTGATAGAAAAAAGGTTCCTATTGCAAGCATTGACAATAATTATTCGCCTTGTATTAATGTTATCCTAAGAATACAGATTGTTGTTATTAGTCCTACAGGAGGGGTTGGGCATTGACTAATGATAGTTAATTTTTTATATCTATCTGGTTCATTATTGTCTTATTGATGTCCCATTTTTATTCTATAGTGTCCATACCCATTTCTATTTTATTTATGTTCTACTAAATAAAAGAAACGTCTTATAACACTTAAAACATATATTTACGCTTACACTGTTACTCACAAGACGGTAAATATACAAAAAAGATGGTAAGTGGTGATCGATTTCGATTGGACACTCCAATCATCATCAGACCCAATAGGCGAATGATATGTTATATTGTCAATTGAGAAATATTAACTTCTAATTTATAAATTAATATCAAATTGATTATGATCAATACCATTATGATTAATACCATCTCACGTTAGTTTCTAAAATCTAGTTGATATTCCATTCTTATTCTATTAATAAAAGACTAGTATTCTAACAAAAGATATACCCAATACATGTCCATTTTACTAATATCCAATATATATTCAATTAGTGTTTTATTGGTATTTGAAATATATTTTGTTGGTATTCTATCAAGCAATATCTCATTGGTTATGTTTGATTTTTCCATTAGTATTCCTTTGTTATCCGGTTTCTTAAATTGTGAAAAAAATTACATTGTATTTTTATAAGAAAGTAGTTATATGAAACAATTTTTTATGATAAAATCAAAACGCATAGGTTTTCTAACAAAATTCAAACAGTATAAAATACTTTACCCTTCACTGAAACGTAGGGAAGTAATCTTCGAGAATCAAAATCACTATAAATCAGCAAGAACCTTATCAGTTTGGTTTTAAGACTTATTAACGCAACAATTAGGGTCTTAAGCAACGATACTGCTACTGTAGTATGTAACCTTATCTTATTTAATCTCAAATTGAATTATTGCAGTATTTTGACAAAATTTTTTTTACAGATTTCTCATTTGCAGTTGATAATGTTTTGAAGATATTTTTGTTTAAAACAATTTTAAAACTTGTGATGTTTACCGTTTTCCGTTCTATTTTTTTTAAATGTATCTTAAATTATGTATTTCAAACCCCTCCTGTCTAGTTAGATGTTACAGCTCCGCATTCTAAGAGTACATCAGTGTCGTCATAAGACTGTGTACATACAAGTATTTCGAAATGTTCAAGTCTATTCCAGTTATTGAAATATGCAGCTTAAGACATAATAAAACAGTAAAATTAATTTCTAACTTAATTCTCAGAGCGTTATTTTCTTCAATCATACTTTAGTTGAGTCCTTATAAGAATTTTAGTAAATACAAAGGAAAGTTTGCTAATGTACTAGGCCTAAGTGAAATAAAAAAATAATAAAATTATATTTCAGTATATTTATCTGCATTACTTTAGTAAAATTGTTTTTAACTTGTCCTTAAAACCTCAAGTAGAAATTAATTTTAACAGCATACTGCTCTTTGTCCACTTTATTTTCTTTACTTTTAAAAACTGTTTCAGGTATTCTTACATTTTATTTTATTGTGTTTTTTTATAAATTTACTTTAAGTGTTTAAGTTATTTTAGAATGAATCTTTTAAAATCTAGATATTTATTTATATTTTAAGATAATTAAAAATACTTAATCTACTACATTATGGAATTACATTTCGTTCTGTTTAGTGTAACAAATGCAATCAGGGCGCAATACCTTGATCAACCAACAATAACATAAATAATTTCGTAACTTTGAGAGTATAATTGTAACGATTAAATGAAAAACTTGAACTTTTAGCTTTTGACGAGTAATCCATTAAAGCTATCGAGTAACTGAATAAACTGATGTACTCTTCCATCCATTTTCTAGATGTAGATAAATGTCAATTATTCTTTTTCCTCTCTCTGTAAGTAACGCCTACCAGCTTCATTGTAACTTTGTATTTATATTTTAAATATTTGTATATTTATTAATTAATTTTATAGAATTTATGTTTGTTTTATAGTCAAATATACGTTTAAATTGTTCTGCGTATTTTCTTTGCCTTCTGTCACCTTTTAGGGTAATTCTCAAATGTGTGTAATCTAATATTTTATCATTCCAATCTTAGTAAGTTTTAATGTGTCAAAAGGTGTCTACAATTTCTTATGAATAACACATTTAACGGAGTAAATGAAAGCTAAAAGTTATAAAAATGACAAAGGTTGACATTCAAAATAAGCTTTAAAGGAATTAAATTAGATTGTATAATAGTACTGCTTGCATTTTCGTGCTTATTTAATGTCTATGGCTAATTTGGTGAGTTAATTTATTAACAAATTTAAATAAAAATATGTTATTCAATATGTTTGTTATCAATGTTTTAAAACTCTTTCTCTGTGTTTTTTATATGTTTTTTTCGGCGTGTTTCCTCAATTTTTATAAAACAATATTTCCTTATGTTTTTCCATGGAATTTTGAAGTCACTCATAACATAAAACTAAACATCAATTTTTGATTCTCGGTTTTATTTTCGAAGTGTACTACATTCATGCCATAATATAATTCCGTTCATTAAAAAATGTTAATGAATTATATCCAAAGTAATTTTATGATTAATAGACAATTGAATAAAAAAACTTTTGTCTCATATCCAGTTTTAGCAATTCCACAAATGGCAGAATAAATACCTCTCGTGTTAAGACTCTAATTTATTTTTACGTACCGGTAATGTAGCCCAAAAATAAATTTGTTTATGACATAGCTACTCATTTTTAAAACGTTTTTATTAGCTCGCTTTCTTGTCCGGTACAAGTTTTGCAAGCAATTGTAAACTAACTTCTAAATGAGCTAAAGACTTTAAACTTGAAACATAGCTCTAAAATGGATGAACATGCAATATTATATCATTTATTTAGAATGTATTTTAAGAATTTATTGTACAGTATTTATCTTTAACCAAACAGTTGTTGACGTCACTTGCGTTCACATTGATCACAAAATAAAAATTTCTCTCATGCATAAGATTTTTTCATACAGGGATTACATTTTATGAATATTTGTTAGAAATTAAACACGGAAATAAATTACTTTGGATTTTTAATGTTTAGAAAAGAAACCATTTTAAGATTTTCAAAGTACGGCTCCAACAAATCTAAGGTAAGTTTCCAAACACCTTGTACTAGGTAGTGTTATGACAGACCCATCGCCTACAAGAAGGGGCCTCAGCTATAAGGAACCATGGCTCACCGAGCAGACCTTGGAGCATGCAGATCTCTCGAGGTCCTAGCACTCCACTCATCCTCATCCTCATTATTAACCTCATCACCCTCCTTATCCTCATCACTATGATAAATATCATCATGATAGTATAGTAACACTTTGGCCTCCTAATAACATTTCAGCCAATCTCAAATGTCTTAAAAAACAGTAACACTTTGTCCCACTGGCTTTTACAAATTTAATAAGCTAATGTAGTAACATTTCGGCCCAAACAAAAGATTTTTAAGGGTTGGGGGAAGCAGTTCAGGTAGTAAGTGGCCTGTATACTTTGCAACCCACTAGTAAACCTGACCTAACCTAACCTAACACAGTTTGTTGTGAGTTAGTTTTAAATCTAGTGCCTTTTGTTAGCTTTTAAGTGTTGTTAGTTTATTACTATCCTTACAAATAGTTAGTGAAGACCTATCAAATATTTTTGGGACAACGTGGGTGGGGGGGGGGGGGTGCTACTAGTGAACAGTTAGAGAGTTGAACCGCATGCAAAATCTGAGGGTTTTGGGCCTAAATGTTACTGTGCAGAAGTGTTACGATACGATCATGATAATCCTCATCATCATGAAATATGGGCATCAGGGGAATAAATGGGGGGAAACAATGCTCTGTTGCCGACTTTTGAAAACGAACCACTCTTGAATTCATTCTCTCATTTAGTCCTCCTTAGTTCATTTAGTTCATACACTAACGGCATCGACTTAAAATTATATTTATTTCAAAACAGTCAACGTAAAATCTTAAATCGAGCCTAGTATGTATAAGATTAGTCCTAAAGCTGTTTTATTTTTGGCAGTTCTCCTTAATTAAGAAAATGTTTGAACATTTCAAAGAAAATATATAAGTATTACAATGATCCCGAATTATTGTTACATGAATGACAATAATATAAAGTTAAATAAGCTACAGAAAAGATATTATTTAACTCATAAATTTTTACTCCCTCTAAATCCATTGATTGATTGACCACAAGCATTATGTATATTCATTGTCATCATGGAAGCTATCTGTGAGCATAAACAAACAGAGGAACGATTCGTTTCAAAGAGTCGTTCACAGAGCTGGGTCTCTCTCCTTTTTTCTCCCCATCGGAACGAACCCCTCTTCAAGTGAATCTTTCTGGACACCATTCTCGTCCACCAGTAGCCGATTAGCAGTTGCCCACCCACAATCGCCGGGGTCAACAATCAGTTCCTCATTACCAACAATGCCCCAGGTCCACGTTCATTGTTGCGTTATTTATTGCATTGTTGCTGTCACTTTAAATGATGACAAGACAATAAGACGCACCTGTATCTCATTAGGCTGAGTTATATTCATTTCAGGTTAAGGGGTATCGATGCACCATGTCATTTGGTTTTGGAATTTGATTTAAACAGGTAGGATATATTATTAATTTTTAGATTAAAATGTTGATCAATTGTATAGGAAAAGGATTTTTGACCTATTATAACATATTAGATTTTTATTGTATTAAGGTATCGACATTATTATTTTATTTACGTAGGAAGGATAACGACTTAAAACGAAACGGAAAAACTCAAGTAGATATTACAATGTTTTTGTCACTAAATCAATATTTTTCTTTAAAGAATAAGAAAAGTTCTTATACGTATATTGAAACATTTTTTTCTTTATTTTAATGTATTGTTTCGAGTAAAAGAAATATTAATATTTTGAAAAATAATACAACGCTGGCTAAAACGTGTCTATTTATTATTATACTTAAATTCAAAGACACAATATCCAAAATAAATAAAATCTTAACTACATTATAAACTGAACACCAAATTGTTAGGATTCATCAATAAATCAACATTGGTTGTAATATTTTGTATAACAAGACAGACCGGAAGGAAATTTACTTAGTTATAAGTGAAGAGAAACCCGCTTTATTTGACAAACTTTTCATAAAGCTATTTTGATTCGTGTTATAAGTGTAATGCAGAGCAAATTTTCATCAAATAATTCAATTAAACTTTGTTTTATAAAACAACCTTACACATTCTGTTCGATTTTTAAACACAGATATGATATTAGGAATGATTCAAAAGCAGCAAATGACATTCAGTCTAACATTTAGAAGATGTGAGAAAGATGGCATTTGAGCAAATGTCACCCACTGCAACGTCCCGTTGATGTAAACTCAGTCTTTGAATAAAGCATAGTTTTTATTTTTTTTTATAATAAACTGATACCCTCTATAAAATTCTTAGGGGGAAATAAAAATCTTAATAAATCTTTCAATGTATAAACCATTAACCATGTTTCGTCAACAATTAAGACTTAACAGATAAACAATCTGCAAAAAAATAGATATCTCGATTGTATAAATTACTTACAGTTTGGGATGATAATGCTCAGATTGATGGTTTTATGTGTTTAAATTGCATACAGTTTTTACAAAGTTTTTACATACATTAAAAAGCAAAAATATATTTTAAAATATTTTATTCATCCAGCTTGGAATCTATTACTAAAGAAGTTTCAAAAAGCATTTTACTACCCAATTTTCACAGTACTTGAGTAATGAGGGAAAATACATTAAGATGTAATTCGTAGTATGTGTCTTTCAATTATTCCTTATTGTCACATATTCTTAAGGACAAGTCTGAGGCAGAGATAGATGGGAGAAGATGTAATTTGTAGTATGTGTCTTTCAATTCCTTATTGTCACATATTCTTAAGGGCAAGTCTGAGGCAGAGATAGATGGGAGAAGATGTAATTTGTAGTATGTGTCTTTCAATTCCTTATTGTCACATATTCTTAAGGGCAAGTCTGAGGCAGAGATAGATGGGAGAAGATGTAATTTGTAGTATGTGTCTTTCAATTCCTTATTGTCACATATTCTTAAGGACAAGTCTGAGGCAGAGATAGATGGGAGAAGATGTAATTTGTAGTATGTGTCTTTCAATTCCTTATAGTCACATATTCTTAAGGGCAAGTCTGAGGCAGAGATAGATGGGAGAAGATGTAATTTGTAGTATATGTCTTTCAATTCCTTATTGTCACATATTCTTAAGGACAAGTCTGAGGCAGAGATAGATGTGAGAAGATGTAATTTGTAGTATGTGTCTTTCAATTCCTTATTGTCACATATTCTTAAGGGCAAGTCTGAGGCAGAGATAGATGGGAGAAGATGTAATTTGTAGTATGTGTCTTTCAATTCCTTATTGTCACATATTCTTAAGGACAAGTCTGAGGCAGAGATAGATGGGAGAAGATGTAATTTGTAGTATGTGTCTTTCAATTCCTTATTGTCACATATTCTTAAGGGCAAGTCTGAGGCAGAGATAGATGGGAGAAGATGTAATTTGTAGTATGTGTCTTTCAATTCCTTATTGTCACATATTCTTAAGGGCAAGTCTGAGGCAGAGATAGATGGGAGAAGATGTAATTTGTAGTATGTGTCTTTCAATTCCTTATTGTCACATATTCTTAAGGGCAAGTCTGAGGCAGAGATAGATGGGAGAAGATGTAATTTGTAGTATGTGTCTTTCAATTCCTTATAGTCACATATTCTTAAGGGCAAGTCTGAGGCAGAGATAGATGGGAGAAGCCTACTTAAAATAAACGGAATATCTCGGTTGGAAGTAGACCGATTTTTTAGGTTCTACTTGTGTTTAAACTTCTATTTTGCAGATTCTTGCTGTGTTTTGCCTACTAAAAACTCATTTTATTGGAATATGTTTTTATATCTAAATAGGCAAAGTTTAAATTTAGAAAATCTCTGGGGCTCATACAACTAATGAAGTA